AGAGAAAGGCTCTAATTCATTTAATTTTATCATCTTGAAACTTAGGAAGAGAGTCTTTACAAATGAAGATTAGAATGGTGCATAACTAATTCTTGTGTTTCTCGAATTTTATCAATAAAATCCTTAAATTTACAATCACTGATAATAAAGGAAAAAATATAGTTTGAAGAATCTTTGATTTCTTCGTGTCGATTTTCCATCAGTTGTTTAGCAAATTTATTCAGTGCTAACTTAGCATCTTCATCAGTGTTTATTTTTTTGTTTATTAGTTCAGCAAATATTGGTGGTTTGATATCCCTTAATTTTGGACTGAAATCTCCTTCAGGAAATTCATCATTTATAATAGGAGGAATTGTTTCTGTGAAATCAGTACAATCTCGAGTTGGATGGTGGCGTATGGTTACTGGTCCTTAAAAATTTCCAAATGAAAACCTGGTTATAAATTTCATAAGTTTTCACTTGACAATGCTTATTTTAACTTACCTATGCAAGTAGCAGGATATTCACGTGTGGAATGAAATATATATAGATTGTAATCACAATTAGAATCTAAATCATTTTCATACACAACATACACATGATTATTTTGAAAACAATAAGTTTCATTCTCTAAAATTATATTTTCTCTAAAAGCTCGCAAATAATTATCTAATCTTTTGTTGTTTCTAATGGCATTTGTTTAATTATTCTTTCAAATCAGTTTTTAAAGTAAGTACTAAGTTAGCTCTTTATATTGTTTCGCATTATAATTCTAGCTTTTTGGACTCAAATATTTGTATTGAATTCAATGTAAATTGGTAAATAAAACTTTTACATTCGCGTATTATTATTAATGAAATTATAGCTTTGAATTCTATAGCACGTATTAAATATATAAAAAGTATAATTGAAATTTCAATTGAAATTTCAATATCAAAGTTAAATTTTATTACAATTATTAATGTCAACAATTTGAATAATACGTATTCAATTTAATCGTATTCAATTTAATAGTTACAAAAGAAATTTAGATATTAAATAAAAATATCGGTTGAGCAAATCTTGTTTTGGCAATCGTCGCATAATCTTCACGCTATTTGAATCTTTTTATGGTTTAAACTATTGTTTTTCCTTTAAAATATATTTAAAAATAGACCAATCAAAAGAGTCAATCATGATCGTTTTTTACGGGAAAGTAAAACAATATCTTTGAGAATTATTTTTAACTAGGGCTTTGCATAAAAAAATGCTTCGTTTTAATTTTTTGGGTTTTTTTTGTTTGTTGAAGTAAAGTTTTAGCTCCCATTATTTTTTTAATTATTTTTATTAGATACAAACGATATTTTGTACATCTTCCTTAATTATATATTTTCTTTTAATCAAAATTTATTTAAAAGAAATATACTCTAATAGGATTTTTGCTTACTTTTCGCTTTAACTATGTTTATTAGTACGTAATTCGTGAAGTATATTTATCTGTTAAGCTTAATTCATTATTCAACAATTTAACCAAAATTTTATATAGCCAATAACAATATAAAAAAAAATCAGAATAGATTAAAACACATTGAAGCTGAGCGTAAACGGAGGAAAAAAGAAAGTGAAACAATTACGAAAATTGCAAATATTTTGCCTTACAAAATTGAAATACGTGAAAAACCATCAAAACTATCGAAAGTAAACATTTTGGAAAAAGCATTGCAATATATTTTAAGCTCTGATCAAGAGATGCAAAGAATTCAAAATGAAAATGAAATACTACGTGAAGAAAATAACTTATTGAAAGAACTATGTAGTTATCATACTATACAATACAATACAATGTTTAATGTCAATTCAATCTAATTATATTTTGCACAATCATCCATCGAAAATTTTAACACAAACAGCGCATGTTTATTAACTAAAATTCTTATAAAGGTACGTCTAAAGTTTTTAGCATATGTATGTTGTAAAAACATAAAAATTTAGAAAACTTAAGGTATAAACTATTTTGTAACCCAATTGTGATGATTATAGATTGTTATATTGCAGTTATCATGATAAAAAATTTAGCTGAATGATGGCATGCTGTCCCCTCATTAAGTGGATTTTCTTTATTTTCCGTTGTCAACATTTCTATTAACTCAGATTCATGATTCAGAAAAAGAAAACTGATTTTTGCTTGCTTTTTTTTCAAGGTTAATGTATAATCACATGATTTTGCGGCCGCGAAATCATGTGATCTTATTGATGTATTTTATTTTTCGGAATAATATTTAATAATTTGAAATACTTTGAAGAGATCGAATTCATATTTACACTCAACAAGTCCTATATTTTCATACTTTTCATTTTTTAGCTGCCCAGTAATTTGCATTATAGTTGTATTAATAAAATTTTGCAGTATATCGATCGGCTTGTATATTCAGTATAATAAAAACCGATTAATTAATATAGCCGATCAGCTGGATTGCATCTCTACCCGCACTCAGCCAACAGATGCTATTTCGGGTGTCCTGATTTTCGAGCTACAGTTTTATATAAAAACTAAAGTTATATTATTTAAGAGGAATAGAACACTTTTTCATTGGCTAAATTTTCTACCAGATATGTCGCGAAGCATCCAATAATAATATTATCCGATGCCTTACAATGATCGGGGTCACTTGCAATAAAAGACTTGGAAGCTTTAATCTCTGATAAAAATTCTCAGGATATTCAAGTTATCAAATCGGACCAATCATATTTTTTTGTATTTTTTTACGAAAATAAACATCGTGATACTGACCAATCATATTTTTTTTTATAAAAATGGATAATTGATAAACAAAATCGCGTATAATTTTGTGTTGAATTTTAGATTACTGCTTGATTAAAATATAATCTTTTTTAATAATCGATTAATCAATCTTCACTTCGAATAAATAGAACTATAAATTGAAATTGCAATTTACAAGAATAATGCACTTTTTATATGTTTAAAGTTCGATAAATAAACAATACATTAATATTTTAATACAATATAATTGAAACATGGTAATTATATAGTTAATATTCAATTTAGTTGTTGAGTAATTAAGTAAAACTGGTCAAAGAATATACTTCAATGTACAATTTAATAATAAGTGATGAGTGGTTGAATTATATTACAAGATCAAAGTTAACATTTAATGACGTCTATAAATTAAATTATGATAATGTTTTAATATAAATTCTTAAATCAATTTTAATTCTATGCAATGTAGTTAAAACTACTAATTTATTTAATAAATTTATCTCATAAAAAACACTTTTCACAACAAAAGGTTCGAAGTATTGGTAGAAGTATTGGTGACATCTATTTCTACAGGGATTAATAACTTTTTATATTCTCCGTGCGTTATTGTGGTTAAAAAGCGATCAAACTCCGCAATTGATATAGTTTCAAAAAATCTTGGAGAAGCACCAGCTTTAACAAGTTTCTTGATCGTTGTGATGTTTTTGTCTACTAAGAATTTAATACGCCATGAAGCATTGTATTTTCTTTCCTTGGATTTAGTGGTTTTCAACTTGAGAATTGATTTGATTTGAAACCTAACCCATTTTCGATTGCGAACTGGATTTGCATCTTGACCAAGGGGTATTCCGTTTTCAATTTTTTGTTTGATAAATAAATATACTTAGTGGTATTAATTCAAATACTCACGTGATTATTTTCGTTAAAAGTTTCTTGTGTTTTGCTCTCATGAGTTCATTCTTATATACTGTATGTTACCGAATACAGCTACCAAAATGTTGAAAAAAATGAGAATTTTTTCAGGCTAAAGTGAGGACTATTCTTCCTATAAGCATTAGTTCTGAAGATAAATTCTGATCGGAGTTAGGAATATTAATTCTGTCCGGAGTTAATACCGACTGGAATTATAATTATTTTAATTTGAATAACATGAAAAAAACAAATTGATCTACATCAACCAATAACGATAAGATTTTTATTGTATCACGTGCGATGTAGTCACGAATTACGTCATTTTATAAAAATTTTAGTTCACAAAACCTAGGGTTGTTAATGGAGCAACATACTCCGGAGCAACCCGGGTTATACTCCAGTTTAGGGTTGGAGTGGGTTGAGATTTTAAGAATTATAATAACCCAGAGCAAAGTCATTTCTTATAACCCGGGTTGCTCCATATGGAGTGACCTGGAGCAAAACCTGGGTTGCTCCGTATGGAGTGACCTGGAGCAAAACCTGGGTTGCTCCATATGGAGTGGCCTGGAGCAAAAAGCTCGGGTTGCTCCATATGGAGTAACTTGGAGCAAAACCCGGGTTGTAGTGACCTGAAGTAGCATAGCGGTCTTTAAATCCAATTGGTCAATTACTGAAATGTATTGTCGCATATATCATCTGACTTTAAACGAATTGTCTAGGGGACCGAATATATATTCAGAAACTACACCTTTCGCTCTATACACTGCTTAAATAATCACGAAAATAGAGGAATAATCATTAGGGTTAGCTATAGTGCGTTTTTTTTTAAAATTTAGCTACTTATACTATATAAGGATCTCTAAAATAGAAGAATATTGATGCTTTTTTTTTGTAGTTGATCTCTAGCAAGCGAGTTTATTCTCAAGTCGATAGTAAGTTTAGGTCATAGTTGTTAGACGAATTTTATAGACTTTGATATTGATGAAGTCAAAACCGGTTTCACAAAGCTCTTTATACATGTATCTAATAAATCGTTAAAATTTAAAAATTTAAAATATCGATTTTTTTTTTTTAAATCTAATCGGATTATATGTATAACAATGACTATCATTCAATTAATACTATAATATTTTGTGGAATAATTTAATTTGGGTCCGTTCTAGTATAAGTCTATTAGTTAGTCAGAAATGAAGCCCACTATGCTTATCTGAAGCAAAGCCCGGGTTGCTCCAAATGGAGTGGTCTAAAGCAAAATCATTCTTATAACCTGGAGCATTAACCCGGGTTATAAGAAAAATTTTGCTCCAGGTCACTCATATGGAGTAACCCGGGTTATAAAAAAAATTCATCTCCGGGTTACTCCACATGGAGCAACCCAACATAGAGGGCTTTAAATTTGATTGGATGATAGACCGGAATGTTACACAATATTTCTACATATTAGCGTAACGTTTTACAGTTACAAAAATGGATTGTTAGTCACGGAAACGAATTGTTAAACCTTGGGACCCAGAAAATTTTAAAGTATATGTCTCATTTTATAAACTGTAAAAGTAATTCGGTAATCCACGAGGTAATTCGGAAGTTAGATGAGAGGTATGTTTAAACGCTTGAGCTTAGCCTATAGGTGCAATTAATCAATTAAACCAGCAGTTTATGCTCTTTTTTTGTTTGTGAAAATTCATTCTTCGTAATCTCAACTAATAAAGAAACCTGTTTATAATATAGGTTAATAATACGAAGTTGTGAGTTATAGTTTATAGATTTCGTAAGGAGAGTTAAAGGAGTTAAAGAGAAGTAGTGGTGTCGTAACCAGATAACGATTATTAAATATAATAATATTAAAGACCAGTCTGATATTAGAGAAGCATTAAAAGCTGTTTATAATTATTTTTTTAATTAGTTATTAGCGTTCTAAGATAGATTTAAACATTTATTTTATGTATTTTTCATTTTTAGTCTGCGAAAGATTATAGTTTTAGGTTTAAAATCCGAGATTTCATGGTAAAGACTTCTGCCGATATTAATTTAATCACGGATATAATTATTTTTATACATATTAGTTTTTTTATTCGTGATGATATAGTTAAAGTTTAAAATTTCGATTAGCCAATAAAATTTTTACAATATCACGGGATGATCTACAAAATTGGCCAATCACAATGAAAACCCTCTATGCTGAGCAACCCGGGTTATAAGAAAAATTTTGCTCCGGGTTGCTCCATGTGGAGTAACCCGGGTTATAAGAAAAATTTTGCTCCGGGTCGCTCCACATGGAGCAACCCGGGTTATAAGAAAAATTTTGTTCCGGGTCACTCCATATGGAGTAACCCGGAGTATTAACCTGGAGCTAGGGATGGAAAAGTTAGTTTAGGTTCGGTTTTGGTTCTAGAACCTATAGGTTCCAATTTAAAAACCTGGTTCTTAGGTTCTTGTTAGGTTCTAAAACCTAGTTCAAAACCGGGTTTTAGCCAATCAAATTTATACATTTTTATAAAAATTACTATACATTATTTATTATATGAAAACTAATTTTTTTTTGCTAAACTAGTCGGTTTCTAAATAAAGTTATAAAGCAAACTACTATAGTTCTAATATATAATAATGAAACTATTAAAATTTATTTAGTATATTAT